CCCCCATTTACAAATTACTGCTCCTTCTGGTTACTGAGGCAGTGAACAAAGGTAGTGAACGATTATAATGTGGCCAACAAAGACGCATGGTCCCTGTCCTCCTGAGGCTTACTGGGGAAGCAGGCATCAAAAACCAGTGACAAGCATAATGAGAACTGCAAAGGAAACACTGGATGTATTAGGGGGTTCTCACAGCAAGCCCAGAGGATCTCTAAGGTTAAGGTATGTTTTAAGCAGATCCCTGAAGAAAGACTAGGAGTTAGCCATGGGGACAGCTTTCCAGAAAGAGGGACTGTCAGGTGGGAAGGGCACACAGCCTGTTGGAAGAGCTATAAAGCAGGGTGGAGCAGGAGCAAGGGGTGTGGGGTGTGGAGGCGGGACAAGGTTGGTACGGCAGGCAGAGCGAGGGCACACAAGATGTGGTGGCTAGATTTAAACTTTATTCTAAGTGTAATGGGAATTTAAGCAGCACAAGGACATGATCAGATCCTACCAAGCTTAGGGCACTGGATTGGTAATGATGGATGGTAACACAGAAGCACAGCTGCAAAGCCTGGCAGGCTCACTTTGTGCCAGTTTCCACTGTCCATTTCATCTTCTCTTACTATCCCCTAACCCCTGGCTGCACAGCAGTTTTCTACAACTATCCTCCATCATCAACACACCCTGCCTAGAAAACGTGTCTTGTGTTTCCAAAGCTCAATTAAAGCTTCTCTTCAGATTCAGGGCTTATTCCTAACAGAAGGGCAGAGCCACCAGGTCTGACTAGTGCAGATTCGGCTGGGGGAGAAGGGGTGTGGCTGGCCTGCCTTGGCCTCAGTTCTCCTGGGTTTGCTGTTCCATTAGGTATAAGACCTGAGCTCTGCAGAGGCTTGTTTTATTTTTCATGGTCATCCTTTGCAAGATCTAGCAGAGGCTAATCCTACTTTTTTGGGCCCTCTTTGCAGACAGCTGGCTAACCTTTTCCCTGACTTCCTTCAGCTGCCCCAAGGAACAGGCATTAATGGACCCTGAAACATGGACCCTCTCTTCCTTTCCCCAAAATAAAGTCAAGCAAATATAATGAAGGTTCCTGGCTCTGGCATCCTACTGGGGTGCTAACCCTTTCAAAACTAGCCAAAGCTGGCAGCCAGGAGGAAGGCAAGTGAATGAATCCACAAGCACTGTGTCAGCATCTAGACAGGAATATGCAGCAGTTCCCAGCACACAGCAGGTATCAGACAAATGTTTGATGAATGAATGAATGAATGAATGAACGAACAAGGTGAGAAGATTCATCTAAATTCCAAGTTTAAAACAATACCAGGAATCATGGTATGAGGGGGAAATACTTCCTCATCCTATAAAGGTACATCACAAATGACTGAATAGGGATGAAGTGACAGCCAGGAGACAGCCCATCTTCAGCAGTATTGTTTTGAAGGTCAGAGTGCATGGGAACAAGGTCTTAGCCCAGGCACTGGGATAATTCTCAGCTACATCAGAGACTCCCTTACTCCTTTGAGTTAGCAGCAATGGGTTTCAGATGGATTTGTTCAAGTTACCTTGGCATCCGCCTGGGGCAGCACCACGTTGACTATGCTTCATGGACCCACAGAATTATCCTAACAGCAGCAGCTAACATTTACAGGGCACTTAATTCATGCCAGATGCCACCATGAGTACTTTCCAGGTATTAACCTATTTAGTTCTCATAACCCTGTAAGGCAGGTTCTAACTATTATCTCAGTTTACAGATGATGAAACTGAGGCACAAAGAGGTTAAGCCACTTGCCCAAGGTCACACAGCTAGTCAGCAGCTGGACTGGGGTGTGAATCCAAGTCTACCTGATTCTTAAACACTCCTCTCTAAGATTCCAAGTCTTGCTAAAAGGCAGTTGAGAAGGTCTCTGTTTTAGACTAGAGTTGACAAACCTTTCCTCTAAAGGGACAGAGTAATTATTTTTGGCTTGTGAGATATGTGGTCTCTGTCACAACTGCTCAGCTCTGCTGCTGTAGCATGAAAGCAGACATACACAATTCATAAATAAAACTTTACTTACAAAAAAAAAAAACCACCGGGCAGGACCTTGCTGATCCTGCTGCAGACAGAAAATGTTCCAGAAGACCCACCTTCCTGCAACTGCTCCCTCAGGAGGCTCTCCATTAAGCTACAGTATTTCAGATTCAAGAAACATTTTCTATTCTTCTAAGTCATTCTTTTACTAATTTTTACTTTGGCTAAGTCTAAAATATTACTCCGCCACATGTGTATCCTTTAGAGACTGGTCAACAGAGATGATAAACACCATTCCCTGCCTTCAAAACAAGCGAGGGCCACTGGCTGCTTGAATCCTTCCCTTCTTTAGAGCTTCCTGGCAAGTGCTGCAAATGTAATGGAAAACCCGGTCAGGCAGCTGCCAGCATCAGACTGCACGCAGGCTAGAGGAGAGGGCACACATGTGCCGCTCCCACAACTCTGCTGTAGTACAGGGAAGAGGGGGCACAACATACAACAGCTGCTTTCCAAAACTACTGTGTACCGTGGGCTCTGCCATGTCTCTCCTAGAAGCCCCTTAGGAAAAAGCTGTGTATGCTCACATGTGTGACTTCAGGCAGCAAGATTCTGTCCTACCAGCTTGATTTCACTGGGAACAAACCAGAGTACGGAATGGCCCATCACCAGTCCTGAAAAGAAACGAGCCTTTTCTATACAGAGCACATTGCAAGAAAAGTCTTTGAACTAGACCAATTGTAGTCTGACTCAGCTTAATGTACTATATACAGAGGTTTATGACATGCTTTACCAACATCAGCTAATTAATCCACACCCTGTTGGGTAAGCCTGCACAATTATCTCTGCAGCAAGACTTACAAAACTGGAGCTTGGGTACAGAGTAAATATTAGTCATCACAGCAATAAAGCTAGCTGCTAACGTCTACTGAGTTCTTCCTAGCACCTGACACTGCTGTTCAGTGTTTTTCACAGACTATCACATTTAATCCTTACAACGCACCTACAAAGTAGGGACCATCAGAGAGGATAATAGCTTTCCAAAGTCACGCAACTTGTAACTGGCAAGGCAAAGACTCAATTCAGATCTGGCGGACTCGAAATCTAAAGCCCAAGTTCTTAACACCCTGCTATTCCAATCCCAAGCCCCAAACCATAGTTAGTACTCAGTGGGCAGGCCCCATAGGGCCTATAATAGGAACAAAATCCCATACTTTTCTAGCTGTAGTCCAGCAAAAAAGGTGGACTGAAACTTAGATTCAGTGTGTAAGATTTCTTCAACACTCTGGAATAGCTCTCTGGTTACTACCTACACTACTTGATGCCTCCTAAGAATCCTTTAAAAAGATGACCCGATGAGGGCTTACTGCAGGCTCTCCTATGTTAAACAGAGCCTCCCAAGGCTGTCGCCAAGGCAGAAAGAGCAGTGGTTAGCAAACCCGAAAGGAAAACCGAGCTTTTGGCGAGGCAGTGTTTATCTTATGGTAGCACAGAGCACTTCCTAACTGCAAATGTCACCTGAAAGCCCCAAAGCCTCTGTGGAAGGCACCATCCATGCCGAGTATGATGGAGAGGCTGGGAGCACATGCAGAAGGAATCCGATAAAATCAGAGTCACAATGGAGGCATCTGCTTTGACCTAAACCAAGTATGTGGCCAGAAATGTTGCCTGCAGCCAAGTGGCTGACAGTTCCACTTACCAGTGCTTACCACAGAGCTGGCTGGGGTCAGGGGTCGCTCTAGTTCAGGAGACCTTGAGGTGGGAGGCACAGGGGGAATAGTGGGGAGCACAGCAGGAACGGAGGCAGAAAGCTGAGCTAGGGGCAGGCCAGGATTCTGGAGGCAACAGGGAAGCCCTGAGGGACTTGGGCAAGAGAACGCCAAGATCAGATGTGGCTGTGGTGGAAGAAAAACACTGAAGGGAGACAATGGTATGAGGGTCAGGAGACCATTTGAAGAAATCAAGTGAGAGGAAAATGGTCTGACCCTAACCAGAGAATGGAGACGGTGGCAGAGATCTGTGAGGTATTCCTGGGGGACCTGGCACGTTCCCAGTGAGGAAGGAGGAGGAGTCAAAGAAAACTGGGCTCTCATCTAGATGACAAGTGGATGACAGTGCTCTCAGCTAAGGACCCGAGGAGGGGACAGATCTGGGAGTGGGAGTGACAATAAAGTGTACAGCTGGCATGTCCTGAATTCAGTCCTTCATTCAACACCCATGTATCAAACATTCAGTGGGGGCGGGCATGGTGCTGGGCGTGGGAGACAAAGAACCTGCTCCCTGGGAGCTCAGTCCAAGATGGACAAGGAAACCCCACGCGCCACACAGTAAGTGCTCTGACCAAGTACACAGGCACCTGGGCACACAGGTGCACTCTGCCAGGAAGGGAGGAAAGTTAGAAAGGAAAGGGGTTGGGCACATCTCGGGCTTGAGGTCCGTCTTAAAAGCCGTGAAGACCATTTGGCAGGGGAAGGGGTCAGTTAGGATGCCTGGCAGCAGGAATGGCATAGCAAAGTCTTGAGATGTGTGGAGAGGCTGACACATTCTAGAACAGCCAAAGGCAAGGCCGAGACTCAGTTCATGAAGCGCTTTGCACCCTGTGAGGTTAACCTCTTTGTGTTGTTACAGGGAGCCATTGAAGCATGTGAAGACAGGGAGGGGAGGGAGGTTTGGATGAGATAAATTTAGTGGTAGGGTGGAGGAGGGACTGAAGGGGAAGACACCTCCCTGAAGACAGGAAGACTGATTAGGAGAGTGCTGCAATAGCCCAGGTAAGAATATGTACATGTTTGCATCTATTCAGAAACTATGGAGGTTTTTAACTTGGCCAATAGCTTGAAACACAGATCTTTCTAGGTAACCTGCTTTGTTTATGCCTGAGAAATGTGTATGGCTTCCCATTCAAATGACCTACAATGGAGTATTCTATTCCCACAACGTGCAAAGGCACACCTGACAGTGAAAAGACCAGACGTGACTCCAGGGACTGCTATAAAATGCTGAAGACAGCTTAGACTATAGCTTCAGTGTAGCACTTAACCCAAATAACATATAAAATCTTCCCCAAACCAGCCACAATCAGCAAAACTGCTCACATAACTTTCCTCTAGTTTTTCTTGTCTTTCCTTTTTCTAAAACAGGTACGAACGGCATTTGCTATGTCAGAAAACAGAAATTTACCATGTGGTCTGATTTAAAATATCTTTTATGAACATTTATCAGCAGCATAAACCTGGTTCTTAAAATACAATGAAAAACTACATCTTGCTAAGTACCTCTGTTTTTAAAAATAAAATTATAAAACTATATTAATCTAATTCAACAGATATAGGTATAAAATATTTAAGGAACAATACTAAATAAACCAAGAAAACATAACTTAGGGAAAAAAGTTGAATGAAAACATTGAGAAATATTACTAACCAATATTGCTAACTAATCAAAGAGGAGTCAGAAAAGTTTTCTTTTTAAAATTAGAAACAAAATAAAACACCTAAGTCTTTAAATAAACCTGAGAAACCAACTACCCTGACTCACTGATGTGAATGCCACTGACTACCGCCTGGAGCTGTCGGTGAGTCCTGCAGCACTAACCAGACATCCTGCTAGCCTCTGCTGCAGGAAATGCCGAGGCAGGAGGAAAGGCTTCTGGCTGGGAGGAGAACCCATGTGATGATCATGTGGTGGGAATTAGAAGCCAGTTACAGTCTGTTGGAATGCAAGACCCACTTAACTTTGGCAAAGCGTAGTTTTCTGGCTCAAAAGATAAAACGCATAAGAGTGTTTGAACATCTCCAAGTAAACGATTCTGACAGATATGGAAAGGCAGAAAAGAGACTCTTGGCGGTGGCAGAGACACAGTCCCTTAAGTCTTGGTGCTCTTATACCTTAACCAGAAAACAAATCATTTCACGACAATGTTTAAATTAATGAACAGCAAGCAAGTTCAGGTATAAGTCCAGTAACAAAAGTTTCTATTTTCTTCAATTTTGAATATTTAGGGAAATATACGAAGACATACAATATAAGTAAATTGGGCTTAAAAAAATTGACAAGGTATGTCCCCAGTTTCTGAATGACGTACTAAAGAAGCAAGCAAAATTGCAAATCAGCACAATTCGTCTGGTTGTTAGAATTACTTCCAATTCGTAAGTAATACTTGTATAATACAGTATAGTTTGCAAAATCTCTGCCTCCAGCCTGACCTCTGGATGACTGACATCCCAGCCATTACACACACCCCCTCTTCCTGTGTTCTCCCAACTATCCACACTGATGTTCAAGTCAAAGACCTGGGCATCACTCTTGATTCATCCTTTGTCCACCCAACCCCTTCACATCCAATCAGTCTCTGATCTGCCTCTTAAATACCTCTGAAATTCATCCACGTCTTTCCATTTCTACTGCCACTAGCCTAGTTCAGACTACCATTCCCATGCTTAGTAGTTAAGGACTTGGGCTTTAACTTCAGGCTGACTTGCTCTGCCATGCATTAATGGGTGGACTTGGACAAGTTAGTCATCATGAAAACCCTTAAGCCTCTTGACCTTTATAAAATGAAGATAAGAACAATATCCACCTCACAGAGTTGTTGGGGAATTTAAATGAAATGATCCATGTAAGAGTATTCAATAAATCTCAACTATCACAAGCCTCCTCCTTTTAGGTGCCCAACACAATTCCGCTGTGACGTGATGCTCTCTCCTAGCACTGCTGACACTCTTAGGTACCTGCGTTGTCTGTCTCCCAACCCAACTGCAAGCTCCCTAATGGCAAGGACTGAGTCTTCTTCCCACATATGACATGAATGAGTGACTAACAAAACAGAGGTAATAATAAATGATTATACATGAATATTAAGAGCTATATAATAATGACTATACGTGAATATTAATATGTATTGTTATTATATATACTGAATGTGGTATTTCTTTAGAGCTCATCCATGAGAAAAAGAAACATTAACACATACAGGTTTAAGTCAGCAAAAAAATCAATACTCAAAAGCATCAGCTGCCATAATGACTTTTATTTTTAAGTAACTCTCAAGTCTTCTCTTGAAAAGTAACATACATGGGCACTTCTTGAGCTTAAAAAGATTAACTTTTGCTACTCAGCTATTTATTTTCCATGGTTTTGCAAGCCAGAGATATTTGTTCCTCAAAACAAAGAAGCCACCCAATAGTTCCAGGACTGTGACTCAAGTCTTTTCAGAGGAAGCACTTGAAAAAACATCTCTACCCGCCCGCAGTGACATCTAAAACTGCCCATTTATGAGAAAGACAAAGGGCATGTTTCAGAATACTGAACCCACTCATTCACAAGTAGGAAGAGGAGACGCAAATGTTTCCCTCTGGGGTTGGATTTTCAAAAAAATTAAAAGCAGTGATGTGGTTCCTCTCTACTGGTTCTACTAGTTACAGGGAAATTACCCTCTTTCTTCAGCAAAGAAAACAGACCATCCTCAGTTTTTGAAGGTGGACAGAAGTGAGAAAAACAATTCTGATTTTATTTCAAAATTTAAAAATGGTGTTGTTCTGACTCAACTTTCTAGATCTCTTGAGAGAAGTTCCAGATGAGGGCAGAGAGCCCCTACTCTGCTCCTCTCCAGGTGAGGGGACCGGAAGGTTACCTGGGCTCCGTAGACACGCTGCATCGCCTGGAGCAGCTGGTTGGTATAATCCGTGAGGGTGCCAGCATCTTCTTCAAATACACTCAGCAAAGAGCGAGTCTGCACAGAATGAAGAAAACAGGTCAATTTTATTTCTAAGTGGAAAAGTTACAAAGGAGGTAAGAAAACACACACACAGAAATGGGGGGAGAAGGTACCTGTTCTGTGGCTTTATTCTTTTACCAGTACTAGTTCAAGTTGATTCCTAGAGCTTTAATTTAGGACTACAAAACGGGGGCAAACAATACAATTTGAGTATTGGGGCCAGAAAAGGAAAGCCAGTTTTTAAACGAGTAAGACTCAGGGCTACTATCTGTCTTGACTTCACCCTCGACTTCAGCACCAGTAAGTCCATCCAATTTTTAAAAAGTGTTAAAAGGGCAGCCACTCCCTCCGAGCCCATAAACTGAACACCACGTCAGGCCTGGCTATGCAGCCAGGGCATGGACACCTGGCACTGCACCACCCCAGCAGTTAACCATCTGTCTGGTTTCTGCCATCCTGGACATCTTGCAAGAGTATGTCACTCTTTCCTCTTACAGTACTACAGTCAATTGCCACATCTTTCCTCATACATTATCCAACCAATTTTCAAACTCGTGGCCAAGAAATTCTGTGTGCACTGGGTCTACCAGTGGTAGATTTGGGCACAAAACTCAAATAGCAACTTAACAAGAATTCTAGTTCAGTTTCTTCGGGAAGACTAACCACTCAGTGTCCTGAGGGCAGTGGAACAATGTCACTGGGTGAAAGGTATCTCTATCTGACTCACACTGAACACTAAGGAAATATTTATATATTGGATGGTGTCTGAAGAAGTAACAAGGTAGCATGTAAGAAACCATATCTACTCAAGGAACTTTTGTTAACGTGCCCAGCACAGTGGGAATTTAAAACACTACGTTAGTGATCATGGGATCTCTATCTCAGAAAATAGGCCTAGAATGGACAGTAAGTTACGGAAATGCCTCTATGAGGTGACATCAAAGCACTTTACAAAGAACAATCCATTAAAGCTTATTGTTTCCCTACAAATAAATTCCAAGTCCTTCTTTCTTTTTCTAGCCTCTCTCAGGTAAGAGAGCAATAACTGACCTCAAAGCACCTCAATAAACTGGAGCAGGAACCTAGGCGTTTGGATCTCTTGTTCCACCCAATTTTGTTCTGCAAACTCTGGTGCATTTCACAGCAGTACACGCTTATCCTGGCCTTGCCCCAGTAACCTTTGAGGCTAAAAATACCTGCCCTGAGACCACTGTACTCTCTTTAGTACCAATCCTTATCCACAGAAGGACCAGAACACAATGAATAAGGAAAATGTAAGACAGGTTTTTAAAAAGCTCAGTGAAATCAAAGCATCACAGGGTGCACAGTATAATTTGTGTGTTAAAGCAGAGTTCTTCAAACTTTTTACAATTAAATCCACAGTACAAAACACATTTTACCAAACAATATCATTAGTATGTGTACACACGGATTTTTTTCTATTTCGTTCTGTTCTGTTCCATTTGTAAAAAAAAAAATCACAGTTGTGACCCACTGGATTTAATAATCATCCATTAATGGATGTCAGCCAGCAGATGAAAAACAGTGGTTCAGAACTCTTCATTCCATTTCTTTAAAATATACTTTTTACTTGTGGGGGAAAAAAAAGGATTGCTACAAGATATTCTCAGAACCTACACTGGGTTGTCTATCACTCCATTCATTCATTTACACAGACAGCTCTGCCTTCACCCAGTATCTGGTGAGACACTGTGCTGGAAATTGAGACTCAAAGGTGATGAGGACCTCTCTCTTTTCCAGGAGCTTTTGTCTGCTGGTGCCTCTCAAAGGATCTGGGATCACCTTGGGATCATATCAGTCCTGGATCCAAATTCACAGAGTTAATGAGACAATGAGTATACATAAAGTGCCTACCAGTGCCAGACATATAGTGATAACAAAGGATATTGATTATACAGAAGATAATGAACTTTCATTGCTTATTATATTCTGGATACTAAGGGCTTTACATGTATGATTTCATTTTAACACTTACAGCAACACTGATCTACGCAGCTTTCCACAAATGTTATTTAACAGTGGAGGACCTTTCCAGACTCATGGTGCCAGTGCCGTAGGAGCCCACCAATGTAATGACTCTGATACCTTTCTTTGCTTTAACTACTATGTTTAAGAGAATGGGAAGGAAAGAGAGTGATACAACTGGAGTGAGGCTGTTTAATTTTTTTATTAATACTGATATCCATTTAGTTGAGTTCTATTTATTGTTTTCAATACTCTTAGCAATAAAATAGAATGGAAAATGAGAGGTAAGATGAAAAGAGAGGACTTGTGTAAATGACCTCCACAAAGAGAATAGAAAAACTAAAATACCATTTACTCTGTACCTACATGTCAGACACTGGACTGAGCACTAAATATTTGCTACTTCATTTACTACTTCCAACTTTAATGAGGTGGATATCATGGTTACATTAACCCTATTTTACAGATGAAGTTCATCAAGATTAGGAAACTTGCTCAGCCTCCCAAGGCTGGGAGTAGCAGGGCTGGGATGTAAACCCCAGTCTGGCTGGCCCCAATGGCCATGCTTCCTCCACTGCCAAAGGCTGCATCCATCACCCAGAGGGGTGAGTTTTATCAGCTGGCATATGTTTTGGTCCACAGCCCACAGTCCTGCCTGAAGGCAGGATAAAGGCTGTCTGGAGCTGGCTTCTCTTTGGCCACCTATTGTCATGCTCTCACCTATAACTGCCAAAGAACCACATCACAAGTACTGTTTTTTTCTCTTTCTTTGCACATATTTACCATGACACCCATTAAAACTGATAGGAAAACTCCAATCTTCCCTTTCTAATTTAACGAGGCCATGATCTCCCCTGAAAAAAATATTCCCAGCTATCTCAGATACTGTTTGGATATTAAGGTAGGATAATAAAAAGTTAGGAAAATTCCTTGGCAAGTGCAATGCAAAAGCTGAGACAGATGGCTGATTCAAATTGGCCCAGTCCAGCACCCTGACTCACCTGCCTCTTTCTCGCTGGCTCAACCACTCCCTTAAGCATTAATTTCTCAGGACAATGAGGTTCTGGCCCACATCAAATAATCTCAGGAACAAAGACTTGGGTCTATTAACCATAGAGATAGTTTTGGTCAACTTGAGATAACATCTACCTCAGTTATGGTTCAGCTCCAGGCCCAGAAAAGCAGCAAAATCAGACAAAGCAACACAATGGCTGACATCAGGCCCATTTGCAATGGCCCCTAACCCTAATGCGGACCAATCAGTAGAGACCCTGACCCTGAAACAGCACACCTGGAAAGCTGATGAATATTCTATTGAGATCCTCCCCTAAGAGCTCCCCTAATATTCCCTTTTAGAAAACACATAAAAACCCTTAAGGCAAAGGATTCAGTGTGCACTCTCCCCCATGCTTTCCCCGGCTTCTTTCCTGAGGCATGTATCTTTGCTTCCCTTCTCCTAAGCTCCGAGGGCACTTCTTTTGCCTATGTAACTTGTTTCCCAAGTCCATGGAGCCCAGCTGGCTCACTGCTTCTGCCTCTATGACTTTCTAAAAGGCTAAATAAACTTCTTGTGCTAGAGTTCTTGGCTCTGAATTCTTTCTTTGCCAAACTTAAGAAGTGAGGTCTAACACTGCCGCTAACAATATCATTTATCAGCTTCACATCTGCTTAAACTTGTACAGGTATTTGGAATAACAGGAATGTTCTGAGACATAAGGAAGGAATGAGACTAATGACCAGGCAAAGGCATACCAGTTGTTCAAAAATTCTACAAAAAAGCCAGATATTGGTGCATATCACTTATAAAGACAATAACAGCAATCATTTATGGAGTTACCATGACATGCAGGCATGAAGACACTTTACATATGCTATTTATTCTTCATAAGAATTCCATTAAGTACCTATTTTTATTCTAACACTGGAGATGTCAAAACACAAGCTAAGAGAGGCTGAGTAACTTGCCTAAGGTAACAGTGGCAGAATCAGGATTTGACTTCTACTTTTTCTACCACCCTATACTCTCAAGAGTATGCCCAGCCAGAAACACAAAGCCAAACACCCTATGGACACAGCGTCAGCTCCACATCATCCATCTATCTTACCAGAAGTGGGTGTTACCTAATAAAATAGCCCTGGACATATTTCAGTCAGGAATAGCCATATAATTGTATAATGGCGCAATTTTAATAGCTCTGATTGTAAAATATATATATTTAAATTATATATATAAGTGTTTTATAGAGTAAAAACAATTAAAGTTCTTATTCCTAACATTTGGCAGAGGGAGAGAAATGTCTCAGTAGAACTGAGTCTACTGAAAGGAAAAATGTACCATAAACAAAGAGAACAGCAGGAAAAAACCCTCCACAATGAAGACATAACCACCAGATTGTGTTCTGTGGCATCTTGCTTGACGAAAGACAGGCCCTGGTTTGTTCAGAGAGGGCTATTCCCAGCTGGACTACTCACTGCATAATCTCAGAACTAAGTCTTTTATCCCTCTATGCTTCAGTTATGCCAACTGCAAAGGAAACAAACAAAAAATCAAAACCAAACAGCAAGCAATAGTGCTTTTGTCCTCACCTTATCTCAAAAGCGGACCATTTACACAAAAAAGAGTAAGCCCCTGACGAAGTCTGAGCTGTAGCAGCTCAAAGCTGCATTTGTGTTCCTATCGCAGCAGTATCCACACGGCACTGGAACTGCTGGTTTTATTATCTGTCTCTGGGAACAGACTGTGCACCAGCGGAGGACAGGCACTCTTATCTCATTTGTCACCACTTCCCAGCATCTAGCAGCGCCTGGTGAGAAGCAGAGGCTTGCTCTCAAACAGCAACGGAGACAAGTACCTCAATGCATAAAACTCGACCTCTCACGTATCAGAGGTAACCAGAAACAATATGTGGACACACACAGGCTAGTGGTATAAGACATCGTGCGGTACTAAAAGCAGGAAAGGAATAGATGTCTGTCTAAGGTCAGACAACTGCTATTCAGCTCTTCTCGGGTCACTAAGTTCAAAAAGAAAAGCTTTTGTGTTC